AGCTATTTGTTAGATCCTTTATAGGATCATATACGGCCTGATGTATCTGGGACTGAGCTTTCCTTCCTTCCCAAATGTTATAACACCTTGCATAGGCAAAACTTTTAGAAACACTCAATCATCGACTTGAAACTCTAGGTCTCTATATCGCATGTCTGAATGGGACTTTTTGCGGCTCTGAGCCGTCTTCAAATGCTCTTGAATCAACTTGACTTTCTCCATAGTCTAATAGACCAAATTTGGTCCCAACAACTCTATTTCACCAACTTTTAACCAACCAATTGGTGATCTACACCTTCGCCCATACAGAGTCTCGCACGGTGCCATCTTGATACTAGAATGGTAGTGTTATTATTAGCAAACTCAATGAGAGGTATGTGATCATCCCAGTTACTTTTAACATCAAGGACATATCCTCAAGTGTCTGAGTAATGCGCTCTGCCTGGCCATCTTTATGAGGATGAAAAACTTGTGCCTGAAAGAACTTCTAAAAGTTCATTTTAAACTAAGCACCACAGTCTGAAATGACGGACAACGGGGTCCGATGCAATAAGACGATTTCCTGAATATACAAATTGGCATAATCTTCTGCTGAATCTATAGTCTTTATTAGCAAGAAGTGTGCTGGCTTGATAAGTTAATTTACAATCACCCAATCAAATCATGCGTTTAAAATGAGCAAGATAATCCTGTTATAAATTCCATATTTACCATCTCCATTCAAAAATATATGTATTCTATGGTAAAACAATGGGCTTTCTGTCGCTCGACTTTCACTTTCTGACAATTGGGACACTTGGCCATAAAGTTTGCGATGTTCTTTTTCATGTCGCTCCATAAATAAATCTCCTTAAGATCATGATACATATTTGTGGAACCTAAGTAAATAGAATACTTGAAATTCTGGGCTTCAGGCATAATCCGCTCTTTAAGCCCATCTATGTTTGGAACGCATAATCTGCCTTGGTACCTCAAAGTACCATCATCTCCCCCTTGTTCAAAAGTCATCATCTTATACTTGTGAATCCTCTCTTTAAGCTGTAACCAGTAGAGATCATCAATCTATTTCTCTTTGACTTCAGCTACTAAGAAGGAACAAGTCCCTTTCTGGACAACAACTCCACCATCTTCAGTGTCCGAAAGTCGAACTTCTAGCTTGGCTAAGCAGTGAACTTCTTTCACTATAGATCTATTGCCTGCCTCAATCATGAGTTGTACTTCCCATACATGATTATATTTTTAAGATACTTCTTGAAAACACTTATAGAATCATTGTGAGCTAAGTTTATACTCCGAAGATTAGAGTCTCGTGCAATGGCACTACCCTCGTGATACATAACTGTGCATGATTTTATAGTTTTTTTATATCCCATGATAATTATGCGGGTTTCAAATCTCTGACTCGACTTAGTGATGATTTTCACATCTCCCCATTAGACCAAAGGTTAAGGTCTTGTACATGCGGATCCTTCTCTTTTGTTGGGATCCTAACAACTTTTCTTATCTTCTATAATTTTTTGCACTTTACTTCAATAAAGACTCACCTTCCGGCTTACTTCTGAGCAATCCTTCTTACTAAGAAAAACTATATTACCTACATAAATGCAAAGCTAATGTATTCACAACTATCATACACATTCTTAATGATTTAACTCTACTCACACTGTCAATCTTGGGGAGACCCCTTTTCGATAATTCTTAAAGGCTATTCTTCTGTAGTTGGCTCTCTTACTACCTAGCTGATACTTTTTTCTCAATATCACTGTACTTCGGGTTTAACTTAAACTCTTTGGGTTCTAACACGTATTCAAAATTTCAAACGGTCATCTACTCACTAGAGTTAACTTGGTTAAGTGAATCAAATCTTACCTCTACTAGCTCTGTTGAAATTGTTAATTCACTGTATCTACTCAAAACTTACTTAAGGACTTAGAATCACCATTAAAACTTATCTTGGATGGTGGAGGGACCTTTGAGGACTTAGGTTTTTGAGAGTTTCCCTTTCTAGGGTAAATTTTTGTGTTTTGGAGTGTGGGGGACGAAGTAGGGCTTTAAAAATGACCCCCGGGGGCGCTCCCACGCACCTGAACGCGCATCGGGGCAGTAGCACTATCACAAGTGTGCGGCCGTGCACGGGACTATCTGGGCGGACACCTGGGCACGCATTTTGCGCATTGTCCAGTAAAATGCACATAACCTTTTGCTCAGAAATTCGTTCGAGGTACATAATATATCGTTGGAAAGATATTTCAAAGGGATACAACTTTAATGTTTTAAGTTTTCCCAAATTCCTTACATAGTTTCACGAGATCCTGTTGGAAGACAGATTTTTCGTAAACTTAGTTGATTTTATCGGATCTTATGCTCCTTACTCTGTATCTTGATTCTAAAACAACTATTTCCACCCATACTCATCCCAATAGGACTTCATATGTCTGAAATATCAAATTAATACCCATTTAACATATCCACACCTAGTCTGAGTATTCAGGGTGTTACAAAATGTCACCGATCCCCGCAATCTTTGAGTAACTCGTGTTACCTATTCTCACAGTGCCAAAATCACTTGCTACATATCTGCAAAAAATTTCTCTTACCGGTGAGGCATAGTAAGATGTTGTATCAACCACCCATTCCGACTCTGGACCTGCCAAGTGCATGCATTCCTCTTTCTCATTTACGAAGAGAAGAGCATTATCATTGTTTTTCACCATGGCGATTGTGTTGTCGACATTCTTTTGGCCACTTCTTTCACCTTTGCCCTTTCTTATATTTGGGCAATCTCCTTTGAAGTGACCCGGTTGATCGCAATTGTAGCAATTTCTAGCTTTTGATTTGGATCGGTTTTTGGACTTCCTACGACCTCCAGATCTACCATAGTTGCTTGAACTCCTTTGGTAACTCCTGCCTCTACCTTCTGTGATAAGAGCATGTCCTTGATTTTCAGGCTTCATTCTCATATTCTCAATGAGTAGAAGAGTCGATGTGACGTCCTTCAACTCAATAGTGGTTTTACCGTGCAGGATGGTTGTTACCAAATTATCGTACGAAGATGGAAATGAGTTCAAGAGCAAGATGGCTTTATCCTCTTCCTCGATCTTTACTCCGAGGTTGGAAAGTTGCGTGATTAATCCATTAAATACATTTAAATGTGACAAAAAAATTGTAACTTCACCCATATGTAGGGCATATAACTACTTCTTCGGGTACAATTTATTTGTCAACGTTTTAGACATATATAGGCTTTCTAACCTTGTCCAAATGCCACATGACGTATCTTCATCAATGATGTTATTTACCATATTATCTAATAAATGCAACCTGATTGCACTAACAACCTTTTCATCCAAGTCAACTCAATCCTCAGCTTTCATGGTATCAGGCTTCTTGGCATCATTGTCTAATACTTTGTGTAATTCTTGTTGGATGAGCAAATCCCTCATCCTTCTTTGCCATGTTGAAAAACCGTTATCTCAGTTGAATTTTACTACCTCGTGCTTTACTCCGGATATTTTCTTCACTGAGTATAGTACTGCCGACCGTGAATATTATTTCTATGAACGAGCAGAACCTGTTGTTATGAATTACCCCTCCCCCCCCCTTCCCCACCACACAAAAATAATATTTACGATAATAACAACGGAATAATAACGTAGTAACGAGATACGGTAATCAACAAAAGAACAACAAGAACACAATGATTTAAACGTGGAAAATCCTTTTGAATAAGGAAAAAAACCACGGGCCCAATGAGAGCAAAGTAATCTACTATAATGAGGAATTTTATACACCGTATCCCCGAGTAAAGTACTCCAGGGACCACTACACACTCAAAAGAATAACCCTCTTTTGAGATTCTCACCTCACTACAATATCGCTCACACTCTCTATTTTTCCTCACAAACTACACCGCCTATGAATACCTCACACTTCTCTATATGCTCTCAGATATATTTCTCTATGAGATTGGTGTGTTCAAATGAGAAGCTGAAGGCTTCCATTTATAGGAAGAAGTGTCGTAACTCTTAACCAATCAGAAGTTGGTTTCCTGCAACTTGCGATTTGCAAATCGAGAACCAAAACCAATTTTGACCAATATTGGTTGTGACATATGTTTCCTCCTTTTTGTTTTCTTGATGGGGATGGACCCCACATGTTTCTCTTTCTCTTGAGGGGAGCCTTAGAGCGACAGTAAATTTATTTTCGTATGACATGTAGATCATGAGTTAGAATCGTTGAAGCAACCACTGATGCTTGTTTTAGGGTGGGTGTCTATATCACACCCCTTTGGGGAGTGGCCCTTCTCCGAACCCTGTGTGAATGCGGAATATTTTGTGCACCGCGCTCCCTGTCTACATCACACATCACACATCCATGCTTGTTATTATCACCAACCCAATTTAAATATATTATGCTACATCCAGTCCGCATTATCTGTATTATAAGGTTATTGCATACACTTAAGAAAGATATATAATAGCCTTAATTATAATAGTATATGAACCAGACCACCTTTTGTCTCTCTCTTAAACGTTTCACTTAATTAACACTCGTTAATTGGACCAGTAACGGGAATCCAAAAAAGAAAAATAACAAATACTTATTTTTCTAAGTCGTCAGATATTTTGAAACAAAATCAATTTGTCAAAAACAACTAATGATTGCGTGACTGGAGGAAGTATTGAGTCGTGCAGCGATTTACGAAAATAAGAAAGAACAACAAACAAATCTGGTGCAATCTCATAAGTGGGGTTTGGGGGAGGGGAGGGGGAGATTGTGTGCACGCAGACTTTACCCATACCTTGAGAAGGTAGAAATGTTGTTTCCGATAGGCTCACGGCTCAAGAAAAAATGAGAAAGAAATGACAGAAATATGCAAACTATGGTTTGATGAATTATTTACTATAGAAGTGCATTAGAATGGATTTTGTCCAATCTTTTATTTAAACCATTACAGAAGAACCTTAAACTAACTTATGTTACTACTTCACTGTTCTCAGTGGTACCCTCCAACTCTTGAGAAGGTGAAAGATGAGCAACTAAACTTGATTTTCAAGCCACTTGAAGAACATTTGGAGCTCCAAATTCCAGACAAGCAAGAGTTTAGGTTTGTAAGCATTCAAAATTGTTCTTTTACTTCTTTGCTTAAAAAATCTCTTATTTACCTTACATTATATGATTGTGTAATAATTCATATAATATGATTAACAGGTGGGATGGAAAATATGAAAATTCAGTATATTATCAGCTTAATTAACCAAGAGAAGAATCAAAAAGGAATATCTCAATCAATTGCTCTTGGAACTGGTCATATACAATCTGCATTGTGAGAGGCTTTTATTTTATTCGTACAAATATACGTTAGAAATCAATGGCAAATTAAAGACGATTTGGCAGGGGTGTCATATGATATTGCTTCGAAAAAGTTTCTTTTGTGTTTGTGTGTAAATAATATTTTTCCCAAGAAACAGTTTGCTTATATGTACAATACGTCTAATTAAGATGATAAACGTTTGTAATTGTGAAGGGAAATGGAAAGTGCCTTATTGTGGATCTACCATGTAGACACAATTGTGGCATTATATTGCTCGGTATAGTAGAGACTAGTATTTTCGTTTTAGCTAACAACTTGGTTGGATGGTTGTTACCTATCGTATTGTATCGTATTGTTATTGTAAATATAATATTTGTTTTGATTGTTACTTTAATTTTATTTTATCGTATCGTTAAATTCATCGTTATGTAATGACGAAAAATGTCACTTTATGAAATGACATATTTGGTGTGGTGTCGTCGTTTCTTTGCTTTTTTCTCCCATCTTGTCATTCTTTATTATTAAATAATCATATTTTATTCTTCCTATTTTTTTATATAATAATTCTACTTCGTATCCTATTTTTTCTTAATAATGTTGCAAGTTTATTCTTCATATTGTTAGTGCGTGACATCATGAAATGACGTCAAATGATACAATCTATCTAAATATTGTATTCATTAAACAATACAATACAATACAATATGATACATTATGAAACAATATTTAACAACAATCCAAACAAGCTGTAATGTAGTTAGGCCATACGTTATTAGACTGAACTGGCCGAAACGGACCAATATTAACTAGTCAAACAAAGAAGAAACTAGAACCCTGGAAGAACAGCTTAAGCAACAATTAATAACTTAGTTGATCGTCCAAAGAACGATCAAATAGAATCCAAGATATAAAGAAGTAAGAAGAAGATTACCTTTGAGAATATCAATTCTTCAAAACACTTAATTTGTGAGTCAAATTCAAACAAAGAGGTCCAATTCTCCAAAATAAATTTTCTAATATCTCAAAGAAATAACATAAGAATTCTAAAAAAGGTAGTAGTTTTGAAAAGGGAAGAAGTTGATGGTGGTTTACGGCCGAGAATGGTGGTAACACTAGCGATAAGTGGTGAAAGTATAAGATTCGCATAAGAGTTCAATCTAACACGTGATTTATTATGTCAGCACGAGGTATTCACAAGACACAATATTTTTAATTAGAAGTGTCTATTTGATCACTAACTAAATGAAAATGTCTAACCGAAAAATCGTGTCAAGTTTAAGGGGCTATTTAAGTATGCTATCATTTTGAAAGTATGCGATCATTTTGAATAAACTCCAAACTTAGGGGACTATTTTAATCTTTTCTCTTTAATACAGCCCCTTCCAACCGTATATAAATGTTCATTGGGGGCTTATCACTTAACACTCTCTCTATTCTCATAAACCCTACCAAAAACCTTATCACCAAAGGGAAGAAAATGGCTTCCCTCTCCACTCCTTTAAGATACAGCAAAATGAATAGTCTTTTTCTACTGAGAAACACTTCATCTTCACTAACCTCAAAAAGGGTCACCTTAAATTCAATTTCCCATATCTTTAGTACTGATAAATTCATTCCAAGAAATGCTCTTAAAGTTTCACAAATTCACAGCTTTACCACTTCTGTAACTCCATCAGCAGCAGTGTCGAATTGGGTTAATGGTAATTTTGGGTATAGTGTGAGGGCATTTAATGTGGCTGCTACTGCATTTGCAGATTTAGAAGAAGAGTGTGATGTTGATAATGGGGTTGGGCTTGAGATATCAAAGCTTGGTATTTCTGAGGAAATTGTTTCTGCTTTGGCTCAAAGGGGAATTACTTCTCTTTTTCCTATTCAGGTGTTTTTATTGAATTGTTATAATTTATTTTTATGTGATAAAAAGACAACACTTTTAGCTGCTGGTTTTGCTATATTTGTGTGTCTATTGATTGATGATATTCAAGATTCTATAGGAAAAAAACAGCATTTTTTTAATAACCGTGGTGTCCGGGCTCGGCTCATTCTATGTGTAACTGTGTCCGCCAAGGCTTGGACAAATGGTGAAGAAATCACCTAGTGTTTCTGCCTTAAAAAAAGACAGCATTTTTAGCTCCTAATTTTGCTATATTTGTCTGTTTTTCATTGATGGTATTCAAGATTCTATCTGAAAAAAGGCATCTTTAGCTCCCAATTTTGCTGTATTTGTGTGTTTTATTGATTGATGGTATTCAAGATTCTATCTGAAATGAGAAGGACAGCATTTTTAGCTCATGGTTTGCTATATTTGTGTATTCATTGATGGTATTCAAGTTTTTTGATAGAAAGAGTAGAGATTAGACTTAGATGGGTTCTCTGCACATGCGTCATTTCCGTCTGAGGAAAAAAGCATTTTTAACTCCTATTTTGATGTAAAATTGTGTGTTTATTGGTGGTGTTAAAATATCTTTGAGAGAAGAGTAATTCAGAATATGAGGCTCTCTGCACATGTGTCATTTTTTTTGGAAAAAGATAACAGCATTTGTACCTCCTAAATTTCTCTCTCTGTGAGTGTTTATATTTTATATAGAAAAGAGTAATTTAGAATTAAAGAGGGTTTTCTGCACATAGGTTTTATGCGGCTGTTCACTTCATCACAGTATTAATGCAGTTTGCACTAAAATTTGTACAAAAATCTGTCCAGGATTTCCTATGACTTCCACGAGGTTTTGTTTTTGCGTTGGACAGTCTGAAGAAAGGGAAATGACTTGATGGAGGACACTCTCTCCGCATGTGAAGTTATTTAGGACCGATAAGTTAAAGTAGGCAATGACATTAAGCCTTTAGAAGATATTGTAGTATATTCTTGTAAAGAATGTTGAGGTGTCAAGTGGGGAAGATTGTTCCTTACTTCTTATCGTTATCGTTTTTTGGCGAGCTTTCTGTTTAGTGTTTTGGTCTCCATATGCTTAGATTAATTTGGTCATATAGTGCAATGCAGGCCCTTAAACGCAGTGGCAGAGCTACCTTTAGTGAAGGGGGTTCAGTTGAATCCCCTTTGCCGAAAAATTGCACTGTGCAAAAAGGGTAAAGACAAATTTTTTTTTATACATAAACTATTGAATCCCCTTGACAAAGGTTTATATCTTAGGTGTGACATTTTTACATTTTTTTAATCCTCTTACTGAAGTTTCTGGCTCCGCTACTTTTGAACACACAAATGGGGGAAATTTAAGTTTGTCTTTCCAACATATGTATTTTCATTTGGTTTTGGTTTCTTATCAAAAGAAAATCTGCGGAACAATTTCTGATTCTAGAATCTTTTCATTTTGGGTTGTATCAGAAAGCTGTTTTGGAACCAGCAATGCAGGGGTCGGACATGATTGGCCGAGCTAGAACTGGAACTGGAAAGACACTAGCTTTTGGCATTCCTATCATGGATAAGATCATCAAATTCAACAATAAAAAAGGGTTTGTTCCATCTGTTTTTCTTTGTAGGATTTATTTTGGTACTCCCTCTGTTTCAATTTATATGAGTTAGTTTGACTCGGCACGGAGTTAAAGAAAAAAAAGAATATTTTTTAAACTTGTGGTCCTAGAAGCTTAATGGGTAAAACTTTGCGGGGCCATGAGATTTGTGTAGCTATAAATGTTCTCATTAAGGGTAGAATGGGTAAAATAAAAATTATGAAGTTAAATTGTTTCCAAATATTGAAAGGGATTGTTACACAAATAGCTGGTCAGATTTAATGTTATCTTTTTTTAGCCGNATATATTATACATCCGCCGGCTATTTTAAGTTTAAGAGATTAGGTGGACAACTATTTGGGTTAAATCTTCATATTGAAATCTGTCATTTTTTGGAACAGACTAATAAGGAAAGTGTGTCATATAAATTGAAATGGAGGTGAGTAATAGTTAAATATGTAGCAGCATTAAATATTATCATGTCGTAAGTTTGTCAGAGAGTTATTGATGATTCTTTATTTGTTGAGAATGTGAAATTCGTTACAAGTGAAATCTTTTTGGTTATTCTGAACTATACAGACGGGGAAGAAACCCTTTGGCATTGATCTTGGCTCCCACTAGAGAACTTGCACGGCAGGTGGAGAAAGAATTTTATGAGTCTGCTCCTGTTTTGGATACGCTATGTGTTTATGGTGGTGTCCCCATTCAACGCCAAATGAGTACTCTTCAAAGGGGTGCAGACATTGTTGTTGGGACACCTGGTCGGATCATTGATCTGCTGAAGAGGGGGTCCTTGAATTTATCAGAAATCCAGTTCGTTGTTCTAGATGAAGCTGATCAGATGCTTAACGTGGGCTTCGCGGAGGATGTTGAAACCATTCTTGAAAATGTTCGGCAGAAACATCAGACGATGATGTTTTCAGCCACAATGCCAAGTTGGATAATGAAAATTACCAACAAGTTCTTGAAGAAGCCAATTCACATTGATCTTGTGAGGCCGCTATTCTCACCATGTGGACAGGAACTTCTATCTTATTTTTATTTGACCCTACAGGCTTTTATGCTAAATAATTATGTGTGAATGTGTGTGCAGGTAGGGGATTCTGACCAGAAATTAGCCGATGGAATTTCCTTGTATTCAATTGCTTGTGAGATGCGTCAGAAACCGGCAGTTCTTGGACCCTTAATATCAGTATGAATCTATAACCGAAGTCTCTTTTCAGTTCTACTTCATATCTAACCTATTGATCTAGTGTCATTGCATGTTGTTGCTATCCACCTAAGGAGTAAAGTGATTTGTTTTTTGTCTAAAATTTCAAGACTGAGCATATATTTGTTCTTCAGGAGCATGCAAAAGGAGGCAAGTGTATTGTCTTTACTCAAACAAAGCGTGATGCTGATAGGTTGGCGAGTTCAATGCAAAAAACTTTGAGATGTGAAGCTTTGCATGGGGATATCACACAAAGCCAGAGGGAGAGAACTCTGTCCGGTTTTCGACAAGGTCAATTCAATGTATTGGTGGCCACTGATGTTGCTGCTCGAGGGCTTGATGTACCTAATGTTGATCTGGTTGGTCTTTCATTCTTTTACTTGCCTGATTAGTTAACTATGCTTCAATCATTTCTCATTCCTTGTCTTCCCTTCTGTGTCCACTTTCTGATAAGCAGTGCACATAGATACTTACATATTTTAGGGTGAGCTACGGGGCATTGTATCTTGAGACAAATTTCACATCACGTACAGGAGTATACAGACAAAAGCATTTTTGAACATCCTTTGAGAAACAAACCAACCATTTTTTAAGAATATAAGTAAATATTTTATCAGCAAGAGAAGTGTGCACCAAGAGAGTGCTACGATGTCTTAACAAAAGCTGCTAGTCTAGCGAGCTCGAAAGGCTGTGAAATCCTCTTGGCCGTCTACCTTTTTCAATTTTAAACCAAACGTATGAGGTTTTGTAAGCATCTACATTTTATTCTTTGGCTAATCAAAACCTAAGTTGCTCCGACATGGCAGTTTAGGTGCCGTATCCGTGTCGACACGACACTAGTATGGGTGTGGGTATGGGATCCGTACCGGATCTGGTCAAACAATTTTGGATACTTTGACCACATCAGACAGAAAAATTCGAGACGAGATACAATTTGATTCCCTTTATCAGAACTAAAACTAGGGTAAATCTAAAGAAAATAGCATACCTTATCTAGGAAATCAATACTTTACTTATCTACAACTTGAGAATAAAGAAATTCACACTTATACAAGCTAAGTATTCCACGAAATTTCTCATAATTTAGAGATATTTTTATATTTTTGAATTATTTTTAGCCGGATCCTCTCATCCGTATCCGTACTAGGATCCATATCCCCGAATTTTAGAATTTACATCTCGAAGGATCCGATCTCTAGATCCGCACCCGTGTCCGAGCAACTTAGATCAAAACCAACCCCTCGAATCATATCCAATTCCTTTCTTCCCAAATTTTCTTCTCTCAGACCGGTGAGTGGCTTACAAACAACAACAACAAGTATGCCTCAGCCCTAAACAAGTTGTGGTCGGCTATATGTATCCTCAAACCGGTGAGTGGCTTCCAGATGAAATATTAGTAGTTCTTCCTCTAAGGCATCTCTCCAATACTAGCAACTCAACTGTCGTCCGAGGCATTATCCACTCCATTCCCAGCAAAGATAGGATATTTCCACTGTTAATTAGTTATTTTACAGTGCCATAAAGCTAGTCGCTGCTTCCTCCCTTGTTTCCCACTTGAAGAATTGATTTACGTAATGATCTGCCTCATTTGAAACACCCATGTCGGATCCTCCAAAAATTCATTAATACTCATCCAATTCTTCATTCAGTGATTATTCAATGAATATAAAGAAAAAAGTCTTTTTGTGCAGTTATCAAAAACCGAGAGAGAGAGAGAGAGAGAGAGAGAGAGAGAGAGAGAGAGAGAGAGAGAGAGAGAGGGGAATGTGTTCATGTCTTAAGTTTTAGAGTCTTCTTTGATTGCAGTTTGCTTTTTGTCTTTTGCTATCTGAAGTTAAAGTAGAGATTTTGGTGCTCAGGTGATACATTACGAACTTCCAAACTCTTCAGAGATCTTTGTTCATCGATCTGGTCGAACTGGACGTGCTGGGAAGAAAGGAAGTGCCATTCTCATGCATTCCTCAAAGCAGCATAGGGATGTGAAAGGTATTGAGCATGATGCCGGATGCAGATTTACTGAGGTAAGGGTGCTTATACCTTACAGTTTTTACTTTTTAATATCTTCATTAAGATTTGTTAACATTTCCGCTTATGGAAACGGGGGAGAATGCAATAGATGCATGTTGAACTGCTATAGCTGTTAGAGTAGATTGTTATACTTGTGTTCAAGGAGCCTGCTGCGGGTGTTTTTTTTTGTTTTTTCTTTCTTGTCCCTTTGTTAATAAAGAAAGAATGGAGTTTGAACTTTGAGTCTTCATAGTTTTGTGTTTTTTAATGCATAAAAAAGGAATCTCCATAGCGTTGTGGGCGTTCAACTAAAAATATTTCAATTATTAACTTGTTTTATTACTTTTTTCTTCTATCTATATCGCTGGTTATTTAAAGTTAAATTATATGTATAATCCAATCACGGGATTATCTGAATTGGAAAGAATGCTGAAAATCGAATTATTTGTCACAGGATCCACTTATATCAATGTCTAATTGAGGGGACACAAACTTCTGACTTTACACTACCTTATCAGAAACTTCCTACTTTGAACTAATCTTGCAAAGGAGTTGCAATCATATTCCTTTATCTTAGCATTGCATTTGTGATAATCTTTGGTGCTTCTAATTTTCTTGAATTGCTGAAGTCGAACATGAGCCAGTTGGAATATTCTGTATACACTGGTATATAGAATTATTATCTCATTGAACTATCTTCTCTGCATGTACTTGCTGAAAATAGCTCCCAAGTATTAAAGTAGAGGCTGGAGCAGCAGACATGTATAGTGACATGGGCAAAGGCAGCGACCGCTTTGGTTCCTATGGAGGCACCATGCGTAGTCGATCTGGTGATTTTGGTGGAGGTCGTTCTGGTGGCTATGGAAATAAAGGCAGCAGGTTTGGTGGAGAAGGCGCTTCATCTTCTCGAACAGGTGGATACAGTGGAACTGGTTCAGGAAGATCAGGGGGTGGCTATGGTGGAACTAGCTCGGGCCGCTCAGGAAAGTTTGGTGGTTCTGGAGGCTCAAAACGTTTGGGTGGTTTCCGTAATTTTGGTTCGGGCCGTTCTAGTAGATTTGGAGATTCACAGTCTGACCGCAATAACCGTTCAAGCCGTTTTGATGACTTCGGAGATGGCAAGGATAGTGGTGATCAGAGTTCAGGGAGGAACTCCATTTCAAGGCAAGTTTCATTCTCCTTTCTTGATTAATTTTAAATGGATCTGCTTAACGGTGACTTGTATACTCCGCAGAAGCATCTTCCAACACATGTAGTTACTTTAACCACTGAACACAAAATGTTGAAAAGAAGATTGAAAAAGCCAAGTCTGTAGGATGTTACACTTGTAATGGGTGGTTTATTATAGGGTCCATTACAGTAGCGTAGCCACATAGAGTGAAGGGTTTGAACACTTTTCATTCGAAAATTATACCGAGTATATTGAAAATACTATGTATATAGGTCAAAAATTACTTTTTATAAATATATAATAAATCTTGAACACCCTTTGCAAATATCCTGGCTTCGCCACATTATGCACGTATTGGAGGGAACTAACATTGGTGATATGATGCTATTAGGGCCATATGCATGTAATTGTTTTGTCTACTATGCTGTATTTCATTATACATTGGAGAGGATTAGTTAATTGGGGGTGGGGTGGGACCCGAAGAGAAAATCTGATCCATAATACCACAGTAAAAATGATGTGATAATGTCATGCTGCCTCCATCATAGGCTCCTTAGGTTTTAAATGAAGGATTAGGTTTTCATGTAATTTGCTTTGGTTGGTTCAGGAGGCGTGCCCCCTGGGACTTCTCCATTAATAGATGAAGGTGCAGCTGAACACCGGCTCTGAACTGTGTGTGTTGATTACAAAGGTGCTGTATTTAGAGTGCAGATGATACAACTTTTTACTATATTTGAAGTCCATATAAATAGCACTTCAGTATCCACTTGGTCTCAAAAGGCACCC